CGCATATCTTAGATATCTAGATTCTGTATATGAGTTAAGATTACCTCATATCGTGTTTGGACCCACTGAAATGGATACGCTTCCATCGTCTTACTCTATCATCTTGTAGACTTTATTTACTAGCCCTATGATTTTTGTATGGGTGAAAATGAAAAGATAGCCCCACCTGCGCTATCGATATTTACTAGCAGAGTATCAGTGAGTAATAATAAGTGAAGATGAAAACAAGGCGAATTCTAAAATTAATCAGTTGGTTTTTCGGAGAACCACGTGGAGGTCGACTTAAGAGAGTGTATTGCTAACAATGGGGCTGTTAGACCCAATTACTAACAATCCCTTTTCCCTTATTAACCTTTTAGTGATCGTAGTTAGAGATATGTATTTATCTTAAGTCTTTTACAAACATAAAAATCTATGTCTTGGAACGAACTAAAAAACGTTACGTCCTGGCATAATGTTCTCGTAGATCATAGGAAGAGCCGAGCGAACCAGCAGTACTAGCGGTAGATTGCCATACTGGTTGAAGCTACTGTTAGAATCTCTCTTAGCAGATATCGGTCAGTTGCTTCTAACAAATTGTTCTTACTACGCAGGCAAAATAGCTAGCATTAAAACTATGACAAAATGAACGACTTCGTATATGACTACGACGATTGAGAACTCCAAACTACCGGAGAGAAATAAAAAAGAAAAATGGCCACCGCCGCGACAACTTGGAAGCTCCGACTTGGTTGGACAGTGGGCTCAGCTTTGGCGAAAAACCAAAAGAAATATCTCCCAAAAGAAAATCCTACGATTTGCTCATTAATTCTACTGACATAGTCAATGTGAACTCTTTCTTACAATCTATTTTTCAAAACAACATTTAATGTAATGTCAGTATTGGAAAAAAATATCCATAATATTCTAATTAAGTAATATATAACAACAAAAGCAACCTTCACACAGAATACAAATTATATAACTAGGTTGATTTAGTAAGAACTATGTATGACCTTACTCATTTCATCTTCGGCTAATACTATCGTGAGAAACAATCTGGCCAGCCTTTATTTTCTAATACAAGTTTTGCAATTTGAGAGCACTTGTTCTATATGACATCACTTACAGATCTTAACTGGTTTTCCGTAATACAATAAAGTACAATAATAATTAAATATCATAAAATTCCACTCAACTATTAAATAATATGTGAAAGTAATATAATATGTGTCAACGGGTGTGTTAATAATGTTAAAAAATAAAATTTTATTATATTATATACATTAAATTGTAATAGTATATTTGATATTATAACATAACCGATACACAACATAATAACTTTAATGTAAGCACCTACTCAAGAACATTATGTTTGAAAAGTCAAAGTTCAATATTAATTTATATATGACAGACAATACACAATGTTTTATAAACTATCATAAGCTATCTCCTTAGACCTAGCTATAAATAATCTGGTTTCTTCTAAACGGGAATGTGCCTCATGTTGGACTGGAAACCTGCTAGTAAATGCGGTGTAACAAGATTTTTCAAACAAAAAATGAAGACGTGTACTAACACAAACCAAAGCACGATTAAGCTCGAATACTTATAATAAAAATGGGCAGATATCTTCTTTAAAGTCCCTAAATAAAGTTTACCTATTTTACAAAATATTTATGTAACTTTACAATTTTTGAAATGTGTTCTACTGACTCTATTGCATCGATTTTTTAATAAATAGGATTCTTAATTTTCTAAACTCATCTGAGAAAATAAATTCTAATTTAGTAAAAATATTTTAATTACAAAATATTAAAATCTGCACTTAAATATTTACGATTCAATGACTGAAATCCATGAACGTTACGAAATAATATCGCTAACCTAGCCTCTCTAGTTGGTATAATAAATTCAACAAAAAAAAACTTGAAAATGAATGGTGCATTTGGAGAGACTATAAAACTAAAAAGAGTTTTAGTCCTCAGTCCGCACTACACTGCACTGCATTGAGCTGGATTGTTTTCATTTCAAATAAAACAATCGTCATATTGTCTCACCCACTGAAAGTATTTCAACTTATAAATAATGGAAAAAAGAAGCGATTCAATTCTGTTTATATCCATTAATATGATTATGTACAATATACATACTAGGACTTCGTAAGACAGTATTTTCAACTTCGCACAATGTCAACAACCTCCGCCTCAAATTTCCCGCTCACTTCACTTCCTTTTATTCTAAATTCTTTACTGTGTAGACAGTTCGCCAGAGGAACTCACTACCTGCCTCTATTTGGTGCACTCAATCTTTCAATAGCTTCAAAACCTCTGCTAGGTCCTACTATCTCTCCCTTTAAGTACTATTTTTCTGTGTTCTCTCTTCATTTTCCACTTTCATTCTCCCTTGTTTCATGTGTACTATTAAGTAGGTGTATGTATATGTTTATTTATTTGTTAATATGTGTGCGTGTATATATATGTGTTTGTATATATTAGTATCTATATAATAGTGCGATACCTATTCTTTGTCTTTTTTCTCAATGTCCTTTACCCAAAGTTTGTCTGGAAGAGATTGCTTAGCGATAAGGCCGCCTTTTGTATCACTTCTCTTTAAAATTATCTCTATTTATTATTTTTATAAATAGTGCAATAAACAAGAACAAATAAGTATAGTTTGCACCGAACCATTTGTTGTACTAGAATACAAATTAACAAACAATTTTTAATACTTGTACTACAAATTAAGAACCTGGTTAATTCAAAATCCTAAACCTGTATCTTAAACTAAAATTTTAAAGTGGCTGATTTAAATTGTAACTATGTTAGCACAAGTGGAAGCGAAAGTAATAATATTATATAAGACCTAGGCTGGGCCCGGGTTCTAGGTCCCATAAAAGAAGTTTGTATGTCAAAATGGTATGAACTCACCTTGACTGCAGATTTAGCGTAAGCGGTACACACTCAGGATATACCAGGTTTCAGGAAGCCACGCCACGTGAATGTCACAATGGCGTTGATCTATTTTGGTCTACTTGTAAAAACCACACTATATATGTTAGATAAATTATCACTCGCGACACTTGGGAACGATAATAGGAAATGTCCAGAAGGTTTACGAGTTCTCCACACAATAAGTAGGCACACAACAGCAACCCGTTGCAGAGTGTTACGCGGTAGATGTTGGACCGGGGTCGACCATTTGTCTGTTTTTCTTATGTCAGGGGAATCGGTAGAATATTACGCGATTGGAGGGTATTACGATATTTATAGGGATGTAACTTTCTTGAACAATAAGTATATAGTTTAGTAAAAGTTTATACTAAATGCTTTAAATATTACGACCCCAAATCTTAATTTAGATTAGTTATAATTCGATTCTAGAACGAATTTAAATAATATTTCTCAGAATAATAATCCGCTGTGATATTATTTATTTATTTATTCTTTATTGCACAGTAAAATTTTGTACAAATAGCGAGCTTAATGCCATATGGCATTCTCTACCAGCTATATATACATACATATACATAAATTAAAACAACGATAAGCATTATGAGATATAATAACTATTGAGTAACCTGTAACTAGAGCTGGTGTTGTTGACTCAACTAATAATTAAAAAGTATTCTTTTAAAAATATCTTTTAACTTTAATTCTTAATATTTTAACTTTAAACATAAGGAATAATGCTTCAATAGCAACCTTATTGTAAATATTCCTTATTCCCATGTTAGTTAAAAGTTGTATATTTTTTTATGAACAATAGCAATTGGTAACGGTAAAGGTAAAGTTGTCGATCTGCACTCTACAGCCTCATAAGTACTTTCTCTGCAACGAATCGAATACAATCAACGTAACTAATTATTAAATGTGTTTGCATACAATATGTACTCGTAGTGAAGCAATAGTCTGTGTCATGTAAATATGTGTTGCTGCGTACAATTTTTTAACGGAAATTCAATATTATACATGCTTCTAAATTTAAATAATCATTCAATTACATTACTTTCTTTCGAATACTATCTAGTTCTTGGCTGCGAAAAAATATTTACAATGAAATAAACAAGAAATGGAAATAATGCGAAAAAATAATAAACAAGTCAAATCCTTCTGGAATATTTTACTGGATTTATCATGTTCCCTTTTATGTACTATATATACTCGTATATTTATATGTATATATAGTGTGTTATTTGTTATAATAAGTAGTTTAATTAATAATATGTATTTGATGTTTTGTACATTATAGGTTATTCTATTTTACGCAAGTAAAAATTATTAATTATCTCTTACGTCACCTACTCACTTCTATTTGTTCTCCTTTAACCAGAGGTTAAATTCTTCAAATTTAGATATTTATAAATCCTAAACAAACAAATTATCTGTAGTTCATGTTATTCGTGGATAACGTATAAATAGATTTATTACCTAATTATCAAAGAAACACTTATAATTTCTTAGGAACACAAAAGTCTTTTTTGTTATTTTTTTTTTTATGTTAACGTCCTGAATTATTCATACCTCTCACACAATTTGATCGAAATATTGATATATGCATATTTAGAAATGTTATTTTTACGCTAAGCTGTACACGCCAACTATAAAAAACATATAATTTTAGTACTTAATTAATAAATTACGACACATAACATCAATACTTATATTATAATAATATAAATAGTAATAACTAGCAATAATACCACTTAATAAATCGTCTTTTCTGGACCCAGGTGTTTGTAGAGCTCACCATTCCTATAACTTAGCGATTATGTGGATAATCATATTTTTCTATAGTTAATAATATCTTTGGATGAGTTTTTCCATTAGAATCACAATAATTTCCAAATTTATTTTTATGGGTCTGTACAGATCAAGAAACCCTAAAATATAAACTATATTACATCATTTCATTTCTAAAGTTGGCTTGTTCACACATCGAATAAAAAGAAAATTATTATAAATTTAAATTTCGAAAAGAAATCTCTATGAATATATTGACATAGCTTATCAAGTTATTGATTAGACTGTCATATTGTAATTATTTATAAGTATTAAAAAAAACTATATAGTGTTTTCATATGAAAGTGCGAAAACTGAAAACTATGCATTGAATTAAGAACACGACAGGTAAATTTTGAATCATTGTAAAACATCCACTTACTTATTCAAACACAATTTGTGTTTGAATAAGACTCGAGACATAATGACGTGATACTTATGTGAAAAACAAATTTATTTTTCGTAAGTTGTTTACTTAAATGAGCTTATTAGGTATGCAAAAAAAACATAAAATTTGGTACCTATCTATAGCACATGATAGCAAAATGTGTCAACGCAAATGAACTATTTGTCTTATTTTAATAATTGTTAGATAGCACAGGTATCTGGGATTTTCTCATGCTTTTATTGTACTTTCTGTCTCTTAGAGGTACTCAGTAATCAACAATTTTTTTTTTACTTTTTTAATATCCAAATAATATATACATTATTAAACTCTACATCAAAGAGATGCTTTATAAAGGAACCTCTATGCTATGCAATCTAAAACGAACTTCAAATAAGAAAAACTTACAAGCTCTCATTCAAGCGCATAATGAGAGTGAAGTCAGTATTCAAGATTAAAGCAGTGGAAATTCGCTGAATAACAAGGAGTCTTTGTCCAAATACTGCACAGTATCGCATGGCTGATTTCTCCATGGAAAACGTTTTACTCGCAAAATCTTATGGTCGCGTTTAATTCGCCCCGAGACACTTGACGAAACAGAACTTTATAGAAATATGTTTTGATGCTAACCCCTCCTTATATATCCTTCAAAATTGCGGATTTGAGAATTCTTAAATGAGGATACGTCATAATATAATTATTTATAATAGTGAATTGTAAATAATTGTATAAATAAAGGAATTGCATTTTTAAAAAGCGTAATTTAGGATTTAACTGATTTTAATAACTTAATAGTTAAATCTATAGAACACAGTTGTGAGTATATGGTGTTAGAATGCATAGAAAATATTTATATTTATCTATTTTTAATAGAAAATAATACCTATAGCATATAGGATTTTTGTAAAAAAAATTAATTCTAATTTATCTTACGTTGAATATATGCGTCCATAGAATCCAACGTTTTGGAGTTAAATATGTTTATTTTATTTTAATAAGCTCTAACTGGCATTTTAAATATTTGTTTATCTTACCATGATAAAGAATGATGATTTTCAATCTACAATGACACGTTGTACATTTGTAATATTAAAGTAGTTTTAAAAATACTTAATTTTTGCAGATTTAAGAAATATTTTTTTTGTATTAACAAAAAGAGTTGTTGTCAAATTCTGATTACTATAAATGGCTGAAGTAAAAAGTAAAAACACAATAATAATAGCAATAATTTGATGAACCTGCGCTAACCAATATGCATTTTTATACTTATATAGATATGTATAAAAATGTTATATGTAAGAATAAATTATATTTAAAGTAATATAACAAATTGGAGTAAAAAAATTTGCCAACTGAAATTGGTCATGCCCAAAACTTTTCAGTTACGGTTTACTTTCGAGCTTTAAGATTTATATAAAGCCACTGAATTCATAATTACTTCTTGCCTTGAACTTTGAAAGTTTGTTTTATTAGAATAAATATTAAATATGTCAAATCAATAGCAAAATTTATTGGTGTACTTAAAAGAAAAACATTTAACCTTAATTTTTCAATTTTTGAAACGGAAAGTAATAAAATCATCTGTATTTTATACATAATATTGTAATACTTATATAACATCTAACAGTCTTATATAAAAAAAATCTTCCCTAAGTTTACTCTTCAGTTAATGATTAATCTATTTCTCAACTCGTCAAATTTAGTTTTTCACACCTTTCAATCACAAAACATTCATCATCAAAGTATACTAACTGCGGTTGCCAAATTGCCTACCAAGAATGGCAACTACTAGCGAATCACCCCTTATGGGGAAGGCCTATGTTCAGCAGTGAACAGTTTACGCCTAATATAATAATAAAACAATAACAGGATCCACGTGTACCAATAATTGTATTGCTTTTCTTTAAACCTTTCAACAAATACAAAATTAAATTACAAACTATACAAGAACTATGTCAGTAGTTAATAAACAATACAATTAATTTAAATAAGTAGTTGTTAAATGTTAAAATTATTTATGGTTTCCAATCACATTCACAATTACAAGACAATGACCGTTAATTTAAATAAGCCATAAATACGTGTAATAGAATGAAAATTGTTATTACAATGTTTATACTCAAGAAACTGTACTATAAACGGTATAAAAGCCTACAAATGGATAGACCGAAACTGGTACATAAGTTTTAAGTGCAATAAACGCATTGTCGTGACATATCCACAAAGTTTCACTCTTTCATTTATAAATAATGCATACGGCGGCGTGTTTGACCATGACCGTGTAATCACGTTGAATACTAAATTCTTTGACACAATGGCGACCGTTTCTCTTATAGGTTTCCCTTGATCTTCCTTTTGTTTGTCTTGGCCATATCTAATCTTTGTATTATTCAAATAAAAGTGATAGCGATATTGAATTTATTTGAAGTAACAATTAATATGAATGATCGATGAAAGTACTTGTTAATGTCATCATCATCATCACATTAGCTTTTAACTGTCCACTGCTTAACATAAGCCTCTCCCTTGGGGAAGTTTTGCTAGTAGTTACCACACTTAGCAGGCGAATGGTAACCGCAGTTAGGCTTTAGAAATGTTCTAAAAGGAACTCTGCTGTCCATCCCTCGCCTTCTCTTAATTACCTGTTACGACACCCACGGGTAAAGAAGTTTTTTTTATACAACTTAGAATGGTAAACAAGCAGACGGCCCACCTGATGGAATGTAGTAACCGTCGCCTATAGACATGAGCAGTACCATGGACATAACTGATGTATCTGCTACCCTCTTTTAATAATAATGAGCATAATTATATCTACCTACATATATATTAGTAATGGGAGACTTAATGCGCTGTCAGTAATAAACCAGTATTCTTGCATACCAGTTGTTATCACTTCGCGAACCATCCTTAATACATATCAATAACAAAGTATACTGTTTCGCCCATGATATCCCCCATGCGTTACGACTCCTGAGGACTCAGGTGTTATTCCTCTGTACCCAGTAAATTCACGCCAAATCCCACCCTTCATACCGAAACACAGCCATGCAAACACAACTGCTTCACGGTTGAAACACGAATGGGACAGAGATACCCAAGCAATCGACTTTTGTACAAAGTCTCCCTCTGGTAGTGGTGGGCTACCACTTCTTCATTCATTAATTCTATGATGAAGCCACACAGATATGTTAAAGATTGTTATGGTACTGTAAAGATACTTTATTTAATTGTTGAACATTCTTTGTAATCTTGGACATTCCTAGGATTACCTTTATACATAAAAAGAGCCTTAAACATATTGTACATTATTCCAGCCATTAATTGCCTATTGTTGAACATAGGCTTTCCTCCATAGATCGCCAAAGGAAATCAGCCAATAATATCCATTGCCCCTGCAAAAAATTAAGGTCAAAGCTGCCTTGTATAAAATCTTCTTACACAAGTTTGCCTTTAAGGGGTTGCCACTCAAGAACATTTGCCTGTCTTATCAGTTGTTGGTTTTTTTAATTATATGGCAAGTCAATTTCCACTTCAGCTTGTTTATTATTCGAGCTATATCTGTCGCTCCGGTTCTTCTGCGGACAATAATGTTTACTAATATATAATATTCCTTATTATAATAAAATATACAGTAATAATAACTATTATACAAACAACGTAAGCAAACATGAAATTATCTCTGAAAGAGATCTCTTCCAGTTAACCTAACACGGAGACATAAGAAGTAGTGAGTGGCCAGCATTAGTGCAAAACAGAAATCTAAACAACAATAATAAATACTTATATAATTTATAAATATGCAACAACAATAATCTATGCAACAAGTGAAATCATTTATACTCTTTCAGAGATTCTACACCAGTACAAGTATATATATACTACCAAGTCCTGGCAACCTCCAACCTCAACATATATGACAAACTTTAACTCTTGTTTGTGTAGGTCATCGTTGCTTAGATCATGTATATCAAATATACTGTGATGTACGTAAGTAAACTTTTGTTACAGCTGAAATACTAGCAACTTGGGGAGACTACGAGTCGCAACAATGTCGCAGCAGAAATCGCAAAATAACTCTGTGTAAGTTCTGTAGTTTTTATTAGCAGAAATAAGAACTCATTTGTAGAATAGAACTTTAGCTCTTTAATCCTTACTAATATTATGAAGATTGAAGCCATTTTGTTTTGTGAAACAAAACTTTATATAAGATTTATATGTTTGGATTTAAAATAAAAGACTTCGTGAAAAGTATAACTTCACTTTAGACGTCCAAAATATGATTATTGAAACAATAACTGATCGAAAATATGATTTGACCATATGAGATGGATAAAATTTCACTAACTGAAATGGCAAACAAGCTAATGGCCCAATTAATTAAAATGGTAATCACCACCTTACACAGTCAAACAATTCTGTTTTGGTTTACGTTTTATCTCAAAAGTCTATCTGGGTCAAAGATTTTCTTGCAGAGTATGTAATTTTGTACAAAACACGTCCCCATGGGTACCACTATCCGACTCATGTTTCGCTGCCAAGTATTGCGTTTGTATGGTTATGTTTCAGTTTGAAGGGTGACATACGGAAGTAAAATTACAAAATACAAAGACATAATATCTTAGCAATGATGATAGATATCACAAAATAAACTGAGACATACATTTAGCAGTGTTCATCTCTGTAGGCGACTGATTACTATTACTTTCATCAGACCAGCTTACTATTCCAAAATGTACTTAAAAATATTTTTTTTTATTGATAAATTGTCTCTGTCAATCATAAGTATAACATTTTTAATAAGTTTTGACTTTACATCATTTTTAGCGAAATGTTAATTATTTTTTTCATTACATCAGTATCTCGGATAAGCGTATATCGCAATGGGAGGCTTTAATGAGGAAGTTTTCAGAAGCTCATAGAGAACAATGCAAGTTAGTCTACATTTTAATTACACTATTTCCAATTAAATACTCGTATTAGAAGTACTTACATATATCGATACTCGTAAGTATTGTGTACTAGTATTATTGAGTATTAACAGAGGGAGACTTTGTACAAAAGTCGTTTGCTTCAGTACCTCTGTCCCATTCGTGTTTCAACCTTAAAGCAGTTGTGTTTGCGTGGCTGTGTTTCGGTTTGAAGGGTAGGATATGGTAGTGAATTTACAAGATACAGAGGAATAACACTTGAGTCCTCAGGAATGGCAACGCATGGGGGGTATCATGGGCGAAACAGTATACTCTGTTATGTCCATGATACTGCTTATGTCTATAGACGACGGTTACCACTTTCCATCAGGTGAGCCGTCAGCTTGTTTGTTGTATTAAAAAAAATATATTGATCATGTTTCATCACCATTATCAACATGTCAGCCATTATCTGTCCACTGCTGAATATAGACCTCCCCCATAGACTGCCATAAGAAACAATCCCGAGCTACCTGCATCAATTGACTCCCACCATTACATTTGAGTAATCATTATTATTTATGAACAAATGAATGGTTTATTTTTACCTTCACAAAAGGTAGTTAAAAGTAACAGCTTGAAGTACAATTAAATATGTAAAGCAGCTGTTTTGTGAGAGACTGGTGGCTGCAGTAAGTTTTGAAAAGACCTGTGTTACAAGTCACCAGTGCTCTATCGCCATATATTATTATTATATTATATTGGTATATCAATAATCATGTTATTATGTCTTAAATAAATAAATCAGAACAATCTCTGTGGAACTTCTGGTATTAAGTTGTTTAAAAATGAGACTAAGTACGGGTTAGGAGAGAATTTTTCTAAATTGGTTTATGTCCTGACTATTCTATGTATGTCATATTAATAGTAAATTTCTTATTCTTATGTTTGTGCTCCCTAATATTTATTCTCTAATTTCTCATAACACAAAACATATTGAATACCTTGTAATTAGTATAATTTCCTGACATATTTTATTATTTATATTTTTTATAGTAATTGTTATTAGTACATTATTATGCATAATTATTTATAAAACTGCAACTTGTAATTTATAAATATCTTCCACACATAATTCAATCGATATACTAATTTACAAACATAAATCAATTTGCAAAATGTCACTCTTGCTTGCTATCTTGTAAATCATGGATTAGAAGTGCATAAGCGGCTTTATAAGGATTCAGCTTAACACGTACAAATGGTGGTACCTCGCACAACACATACATTTGATATTTCCGGATCTTAGTGGCATATCATATTAAACGCCAATTTCACAAAACGGCCAAAGTTAAACAAAATTTAACTTTGTTCATCTGTTACTATTTCTTCTTCTGCTGTTGAAAATAATGTAACACCTATAAATATAGCTATCTTCTTATTTTTTATTATAAATCTTTAAGCTTTATTTCATTATATAGAGCCATTTTTTGACATTACAAAGGTATTAAAAATCTAGGTTTCGATAAGTTTTTCTTCATCTCCTATTTTAACATTCATTTCTCTGCCTTATAACAAGCTTATCCAAGCACAGTTACACGACAACAATAATATATCCGTATTTGTCTATAAATTTTTATCTAGATGGTCATACGGAGTAAAATCGAAGTCATTAACCTTTTAGGGAAATGTTCTATCAACGAAACTAAATATTTTCCCAAAGAAACACATTAAAAAATGGGATCGAACATTCCATATTAATTATATAGCTGATGCTGATAATGGAGTCCGAAAATTCATTTCATAGTTGACCCCCTGAGTGGTTGCATCGTTGTATTGGTATTCAGAAAGGCTCAAAACTTTTTTTTTTTTTTATTTTAACCCTCATATTTTATAACTACCTTAAAAGCGATGATTTTAATTTTATTCTGCATAGTAATCGTAACAAACACTTAAATACAATATTAATCAACATCGATACCCGATTAAGTTGTGTGACACTGACCTACTCTAACGACTCTAATCATAATTTTAAAAAGATACTTAAAAATATATCTTATAACTTGACCTATATCTATAAATATCACGTTATTTGACTTTCACCTGTTGGGATACGGTATTATGGTCGTAAATCACGAATTATGTTTTTTATTGCTAGAACGGTGTCAGTAGACATACCGCGGGTCCCACGGTCGATCAAACAGTTCCCCACTGGATCACAATACGAAGGCACTTGGGACGTATTAGGAATGAGCGGAGTGGGAATATATACATTTCCTAACGGTATGTATGAAATATATTGGGAACTTTCTCTAATCCCAGTGCATAGGATATTATTTATTTTGATTTATAAAATTGCTTTTTACCCACAACCAATACTTTTAAAAGGAATTGGAAGTTTGAATGTACATAATGAAAGCAGGATTGAACCTTGAAGCAAATAAAAATTATTAGATTAAAAACTTTATTAAAACTTTCTTTATTCCAAACGAATGGGCAATTCTTTTTTTTTTTTTATTTATATCCCTAAAAATAATAAATAAAGGCATAAATAAAATATATATATCGTAGATACCGCAAAAAAGACACCGTTTGTCGTATCTACTTTCTTTCAGGGTACTTCCCTTGATAATAAGTCGAGTCTAGAGGTCCTTGGTGTTGATATATCTTGCGACGTCTAATTGTGAGGTCATCTGGAGGAAAAGGCTAAGATGGCTCCCAAAACGTGCTCAATAGAGTTAGACAGTATTTCACGCCGGAACACCGCTTGAAATTGTATAAAACACAAGCCACATATGGAATACTGTTTTCACCTGTACCACCACAGTACCAGCTCCTTCCGTTAGACATTTTGCCATAAACCTAAGAAAAAAAAATCTATTTGAATTTAGAATTTGGAATCGTCTACAAATAGCTTTTTGCTCTGCAACGACAAACAATGGCAAGAAGAATTATTAAAATCAGTTAGCAATAAGCAACGTAAACTAAATTGCAAACAACATGACTACAAAAATACAAATAATAAAATACTAATAAAAGAGAATTCCAATTAGTTCAATTGGGATCCTCTTCAACCTTAACGTAAATCGCTTTTATATATAAAAACAACCATTATCTGAAAAAAGTAGATGTATATTTATGTAAACATACAATACGAAACAAAACACGTTCCTCTATCTATAGGTGTTCTCTATGAAGGTGAATTTAACGATGGTATGTTCCATGGTGTCGGCGAGCTACGGTATCCGAGTGGAATAATACTGAAAGGCAAATGGTACAAAGGACAAATGGTAGAAAAGACACTAATATTCGCAGACGGGCTGGAATATAATGATACAGATTGGAAATACTGTCGAATGCCTGATAGAAGGTAAGATAAAACCAATAATCTTTGTTTCTCCTTAACATTAATTTCTTTGATAAACCTTTATAGAAGGACTTAAGTCGTGTTCAAAAGTCGCTTATGAGTACCTCTGTCCCACTCATCCTCGTATGTCCTCGTATATCCTTATATCCTATGACAGGCTAATACAATTTGAAGGATTAGATAAATGATAACGCATTAAAATTGCTAGATTCAAAATCATTATACCTTATTCAATAAGAATGATGTGACATCTATCATGTGATATCTATTCATATCTATAGCCAATGGTTACCATTTTCCATTAGCTTGTTTTAAGTAATAAACGTACTGTCAATCAGACACGTACTTAGTGACTGCGTTTATATCGAAAGAAATGTTAAAACGGTCAAACTGTTTTTGTACTTTTTTATAAAAAAAGCCATCAAAGCTTAAAACGTTTCGTTCCAAGTTTACGTAGAATTAAAATAAATAAAAAAAATCATTTAAGAAATACTCATTCTGAATATGTTCCGGAGGGTTCTGCAACCGTGAATAATATAAATTGTCCTATCAAAATATGCACTTGATTTAAATTTGCCATGAAAATGTGTTAATGAAGGAGGCCATTATTTCTAAAAACCATTATTTCCTAAAGCGTATTTGTTTTGATAAAATAAAAAAGCGGTCTTTTGAGAATTTATAATTAGAATTTAGAGTCTTTGAACGCTATGATTTTTTTTTCAAAAAAATAATATAAGTGTGTGACCCCTGGAATATCCTATACCGCATTTCCAACTATGTATACAATATTATATTCCACTTTAGTTATCATACATGTTCAAAATTTTGGATTGTTTAATGTAGATAGTATGTTCATATATGGAATCATTATTCTTATGTAAGCTGTTCTACCTAAATAGTAGACTTCTCTTGATATTAGAAACAACCCTTAGTGGTTTAATGTATTTTTTATTTTATAATATAATAATTAAGTAAGAAAAAAAATATATTTCTATACCTATACTCGTATATATTTTTCATTAAAAAAAAACTTAATGCAAGTGATTATAAATAAACTTATTTGTATTGTGTATAATAAGTTCTTTATATACACTCTTTATCACTATTATATCTTTTTTTTATTTATGTACACACGTATGTACTGATATTTCTTATATCATTCTTGAACACGGAACCCTAAATCTGTCGTAATGACTCTAATTAGTTTAAAATTATTTTACAACCGGAATCGTGTCCTCTGTAAATAAGAGCATATTTTTGTACTTTTAACTTCACTGGTACTTCAAATGAAACCAGTGCAATAGGTATTAGGGTTGACATACCAATTAATAAACTTATGATTTAATTTATTATTAATTCTTACAACGAACACTATGTTACTTACAATTAAATAAAAAACTATAAATCAAGCACACTTATTGGTTTAGAAATATAGAAAAATATTTAAGCTCACCATCGCTACGTCATTTCCTATCAATTGTTATTATAAAAAATTCTATTGATAGAAATTCATACAAATAAACAGAATGAACCAATTGGTAATGGGCATGATACCTTTACATAAAGTAATAAGGCTCTTAAATAATGAGATTTCGTTTTAAGATACGTAGTTAGATAGCTTTACGAGTCACATATTTCTTTATATCATAACAACATAATAAAACTCACATCCATTCTTTACTGAATAAGGGCCTTCCGTTCAATTCATGAAAAGGAACAAAAGTAAATTAAAGGAAAATATTAGTATAAGTACAACCCTATTGCTTTGCGTTAGTTAAAATCTGTTCCCAAAAGGACCTAACAGTAATAACGGTGACTGACCGTTCCCGGAATTGAATTTTAAATGAGATTAAAATACAGTGGCATACGTACTAATGTTAGGTCGCAATGCACAGAACTAATATTGTATTCCGTACCTATTGCACAATGTATACATGAAATACTAGTACTACGTAGTACTATTAACTTTTAAATGACTAGTTCACTCTAAATATTAATATAGATGTCTAGATTTCCATTTAAATTTTTTACAAATTTTTGAACAAGTATATTTTTCTTCATAAAAAGAAATAAGTCGACTTCAATCGCAACAGAACACAAAAAGAACAGAAAATATGCTCGGTATTGAGAATTTTTTTAACATTTTTTATTTACATTTACGCCTCTTGATTTTTTCTTATAAGTAAAGGTTTGAAGACATAAATCTCCCAGTATTCACGACTTTAATAAAACATAGCTTGTGTGCAGACAGTATTCTCATATTCAGAATCCCAGCGGTAGGTAGTTGTTGACGCATTAAATCTTCGTATGAAATGTAGTACACAATAAGTGCCAGGCAATCTGCCGTTTTACTCGTTTGTGTAAATGGGCACTTTCTTTACGTAAACTTTTTTGTTTACGCAAACAATTGTACGGCGGCGATCAATGACCTTGGATAGATGACCAATAGTGACGTTACTCGCATCGAAAAACAATATATTTGTAATTGGATGGATCACGTCTAAATCTATTCAAATTCATTGACCGTGTTTGCATTAGACAGTCGGACTCCTTAAACAAATAGCAAACAAATATATTCCATCGATGTTTTTGTTAGTGTACACATAGAAAAGAATGAAACGAGACTCTCATTTACCCGGTAGCGATAACGTGTATATCAACTGATTAATTTGCTACTTATCTAGAAAGGAGATGTACCTTTGAACGACATTAAACTATAATGCATTATATTTATGTCTAACATCTAAGTGTCCACGGTGTCGACTATTCAGCAATCTGTAATAGATTAAAGAATCAATAAAAAAAAGCTTTCAATTTAATTCTCTATATCTATGAAATAAAACATAAATGATATTGTTAAATCTCAGAAGTGGAATACTAAGCTACATAGGTACCAAATAATCATTTCATGTACAGGTACAAACGTTTCCGACACTAAATAATTATAAGTTCGTAACATTGAACCCTTGGTTTATGGAAACTGTATTATATTGTATTCTGTACATACGACAGTCGGTGATGTGTGAAATTTAAACAAAGTGAACCTTACGAACCTATAGTGAGAATATTAGATCTATTAATACCATCTCAAGAATAAATAGATATCTCTTGCTTGATAAAGTACGTTTTAAATGTATTATTTTATGGCTGGAGTAAGCATTGTACGGCTACGATAACAGTTATAATTTTGAACTAAAAGACTTACCACATCATTTAAAAAAAAATTGTATTACCTAAAAATTCAACTAATGTAATTTTTTTATTTACTTTCTGTATGGAACAACTTACAAATTCGCCTTTTGTCCATAGTTGTTATTACCTATTTATATATTTTTAAATATACTATAATACGTGTAATTTCAATATCTATCTAGGTACCTATTGTAATCTTAAACAAAGACAAAACGCAGGTGCAGAAAAATGAGGAAAGATGCCGTTAAATCACCACTTTTTCTCCCTAAACATTCATTTGTAAGGTAAATGCGGCTTCCCCGAGAATTACTCGCTATTCCGTTTGTTCGCGGAAAATAGACAGGTATGAATTGTTGCGCCCCACAAAACATTTAGCAAATTCCCTTGCAGACCCACTAATCGTTCTTTTTTGCCCGTTTATATTACTGGATGTTCTTGGCATCAACGTAATCTTGTGTAAAACCACATTACTACATAAAAATGTTTTTAATAACTTCCAAAAGATTTTTTTCGATGTAAAAGACATATGTATGTGGTAATTATTTTATTGAAATAGGCGTTATCTTGCGGAAGTCCATATCACTGGTTATTTGATTAGGATTATTTTGTTTAATTCCACTACCATTAGTATGCGAGAACCTTCTTTTTGAGATAGGTTGAAAAAGGCAAATAAAAATATATCTACTCAGAACTAGAAAGTCTTAATCATATAACCTAGTATGTGTTCCATTAACGTATACCACAGCGATGCTCACGTAAATTAGGACAAAAGTATTTTATGTTTTATGTAGTACTAGCGGCCGGTCCCGGCTTCGCACGGGTGGACATTTTTACATTTTAAAAAGTGGCCATTAAGGCTGCACACGTGACGGAAGCTTAAAAATGGAGTAACTTCTCACGTTTTCCCAACATTTCCCTTCACTGTTTTGCTCCTATTGATTGGAGCGTGATGAAAAGTATACTATAACCTGCCCAGGAGTATGAAGAATAATTGTACCAAGTTTTGTTAAAATCCGTCGAGTAGTTTTTGTTTCTATAACGAACATACAGACAGACAGACAAAAATTTTACTGATTACATTTTTGACATCAGTATCGATCACTAATCACCCCCTGATGGTTATTTTGGAAATATATTTCATGTACAGAATTGACCTCTCTACACATTTATTATAAGTATAGATAATACTTGTACTATATCGTCATATCAGCTATTATCTGTTCACTGCTAAACATAGGCCTCCTCAATAGTTGCAGCACTTAGCAGGCGGATTGGCAACCACAGTTAAGTTTTTAATGATGTATTAAGAGGGACACTGCTGCCCATCCCTCGACCATTAAGTTCCCTTAGTCGCCTCTTAAGACACCCACGGTAAAGGAAGGTTAAAGTGCACTATATGTTGATCTAAAACTATGATTCACCGAACAAATATGTTCATAGTACCGTACTTCCTGTTTATTTTGCAGATTTACAATAGAATACGAGAAGGGGCTGCAGCCAGGCGGCCAATCTTATCTAACCGCGGATCAACCAACAAGGGAGATACCACCAGGATATTACGACACGGGAGACGGTTTCTTCGATCCCAAGACTAAAGTAGTGTACAAGGCTGATAATTTAACTACTATCATACGGTAATTTATCACTTTAAGTAAACTTTATTCAGATATTATTACAATGAGAACTAGAGAGTCTAGTATATTCGAATAATCAAATTTTAGTTTTCTTAACGAACTCATCCGTGCATCTTCTGAATTTCAATATTATACTAAAATATTCATATGGCAGACGTTAACTTGAAATATTTAGATAAGATTTGTCGATATGCAAGAACAATTTCAGAGTCAAAATAATAAGATATATTTTAAAACTCTCGTTATATTTATAAAGCTAGTAATAGTTACTTAGTATTATTTTATTTTATTCCGCATTATATTAGCATGCGTGTGAGTACAAATTTCTATTAATATCATAACGATTATAGATTAATGACTGATAGAGGACATAGAGCCTCTACTAAAAGATCTACTAATCTACTACTCTCTAATTTTTATGGCAAATCGTTTACGGTGCAAGCTGTACGGCTATGGAATGCTTTACCAGTTTCCATACGAAGTATAAAATGTCTGGCTAGTTTTAAAACAAAACTTAAGGACTTTTATTTGAGCAAGTTGTCATCTTCTGAATATGTTTATATGTCTGGTTAGCATACTTATTTCTTGCATACTTTTCATGAACAGTATTTATATATATTTTTATGTATTTGTGTAGGCGTTTATATGCGTGTATATATATGTGTATATCAGAATCCATAGAACACTTGATATGCAAGTGCGATTCGTTGACAAGTATGCGTATGAGTCTACTGGAAACGGCCAGGGGAGTACAGGTATCTTAAACCGCGGGATCTCGTTAAGGTAACACATAGGATCTATGAAATAATGGTATTAGACACGGGGAAGCACAAAAAATCCCGCTGGGTCGGCGTGCAACGGCTTAGCTGACCCCATATGTGAATATAAGATAAATTAATCCTCTACACCAAAAACCTTACCAAAAATTACTTATTTTTCATTCGAAAAGCCAAGAAATGGAATTCTCTCCCGATGTCTGTATTTTTCGACTCTTATAACGTGTCGTGTTTCAAGACTAAAGTGAATAGAATCAACCACATCGTCTATTAATATCGGATGATACTATGGTCCAACACGTTCAAATTTAATATTTAAAAAAAGCAGACGCCTATAGTCACACGCATATTAACAATAGCAAAATTAAACAAAATAATACTAACAAAAGACTAGCAAAATATAACTTAATGCAATAAAATATATTTATTTAAATAACTGAAGTAAATTATTGGAGATTATAAATTAATTACTTATTCCGAGGTTGTTGAATGTTTTAACAAGCTCCTTGTGGATCACGATGACCTGTCAGCCTAGTTGGCTGAACTACGGAATTATTAATGGTCATAAAACTACGCCGAATTCGTAGTTTCTGATCCTCCTTATTTCAAGTAAGTAGGTAGATGTATGTTTATGTGGCTGTTGTTGTGAGTTTAAAGCATTGTTGTAGAATAAGTTAAAATATACAGGTATTATATTTATATATTTTATACTTTGTTATATTCGGTCAACAAACTATTTAGTAATATATTATCGGATTTAGTAATGTAGAAAAATACCAACATAATTTACTTTCCCATTTTTCATTTTATCTAATTACTGTTAATTTAATATTGTATAAAATAATAAATACTTTAGTCCTTAAGAATGGTATCACACGAGAAATATTTTCCAATTCGTGTTCCTACCGTGAAGCAGTTGTGTTTGTATGGCTGTGTTTCGGTTTAAAGGGTGGGATATGGCAGTGAATTTACAAGATACAGAAGAATAACACCTGAGTCCTCAGAAATGGCAACGCATGAAGGATATCATGGGCGAAATAGTTTACTCTGTTATGTCCATGATACTAATCATGTCTATAGGCGAAAGTTACCACTTTCTATGAGGTGGGCCGTCAGCTTGTTTGCCATTCTAAGTTGCATAAAAAAAAGAATACCACGGACGACCAGTACACTCTGTAAGAGCCATGACATTGTTTATCTATATAAACGATGGATACCAATTTCCATCAAATGGACCATCAACTTGTTTACCATTCAAAATTGCATAAAAAAATCTCTTTTTTTTAATCTAAATTTTTCATCAAGTTTACTTTTTCCAATGTTTTACATGTCAGTCTACTTATCTTTTAGACATACATACTTATATTTAAAAAATAACGCATACCTTGGTATCCATTATCATAAAAATAAACATAATAAAATCTCATACTCATAAAACAGCACATTGCCCGAGTGAATTTAATTAGTGGGCCGTCAAAACTCCCAGTAATTGCCGTGTTAATTGACTTTTCGATTGCCTCTGCCCTCCAAGCTTCTGTTTGTAAGCTAGCACTATACTGATAAAAACATTTATCGAAGTATCAATAACCAATATATGTAATATATAAAAAATCAGTAACCAATGTGAATCTTTATAATAGTACGAATTTAGAGTACGAATTATAGACTATGACTTATAGAGTATTCATTCTTATGGCATAGTTATAAAAACTGACTTGCTGGCTGACCAATATAACATATAAATAAAAATTACATTAAATTGGAATTTCTTGAACAAAAATCCATTACTAATAAATAAATAAAAATTACTATTTTATTTCGAAAATCGATTAACGTGGTTTTGTGCAAATGCGTTGTGAGCGTATTTATTTTATTAAGCATGAATTTGAAAGTTCACTACTAAATATTATCCATATTAATTAATTAATTTATTTTTTATTTGTTCTAATTTAAAATATACTTAATTTCATGCTAAGATTGAAATTATTCAGTTTTATTAAAAATATTAATTAAGGGCTCCGAGTTAGCACCGTAAAAATAAAATTCCTTGTTTGTATTATGTTCTTACCCTTATATTTATGTAATGTTTGTACCCTTTATATCTACCCTAACTTTAAGTACAATATTTACGACGCATATATAGGTCACCCTCCGTCCGTGAGCAGAAATGGATAATAGACAACTGCCGCACCTTTCCGGAGAGTGAAGTGGGGCCACGGTTGGACCTGTACGAGAAGTGGTCCGAGCCACAGGTGGACCCAGAGCCACCCCCAAGCCCGGCGTCATCCTCCCACGGGCCTGCGCCGGTCCGCAAGTCTCAGCTGTTTTTCGAGGACGCAAATGAAGTGGTAAGAATGTTTTTCTCAAAGACTTTTAGATCTCTTTTTATAATACATAACAACATTTTATTTTTATTATAATTGTTTTTAGAAAATTTGTCAGTCCACCGGCTTCTATAAAATATGTACCTACGTACTATTGTTTTTTTTTTCTTTTTGTGTATATTTTTAAGTACATACTGAACATTGTAATTGAATTTACATACAATTTGATGTATATTTTTTGACATGTTATTTTAAGTAAATATTATTTAACTAATTTTAATTATGAATATATTTATTATAAATTCAATATATCGTCTTTGGGCTCAAACTTTTTTGTAAACAAATTAAAATTTTTCGAGTGGGTAAAATTATAATAAACTTTTTATAATAATCTGTTACATAAATAAAACAAAGCGAAATGACTTCTGTTTACCTGTACTTATTTATTTCGCTCGTTACTGAAATATAAATGCTGTAAATCTAAAATAAATACTGCGAGAATATCAAATTATTATAAAAAATTGTCACCAGGAAATTGCATTCAAAAATCTTCAGGGAGATTCCACTGAATCATCTAGCATTGATTGAATCACTTTATTTATTATTATTTATTTATTTATTTTATATCTATCTCCAGAAGTCGCTCTTCTATTCATATTAAGGAATGTTTTATTTAATTTTAATTAATTCATAATTACACATTTAGTAATTGTTTATATTTTAATATAAATAACTAAAAATTTTATTAAACGTTGTTTTTATTTATATCTTTATAAGATATTTGATAAGATCATTTTATATATACCTATTTGTAGATCATATTTAGAAATAGAAAGTTACAATCTTTATATTGATATTACATTTTATAATCGATAAAGATTAGGATTTCCAGTGTGAATCCCATATAAATTTTGTTTCAACTAAACTGTTAGCGGTTGTGTTCCTCATTCGTGAAACCTGGTATATGGAGTCAGCTAATAAATGACTAGCATCTAATTACTTTTCTTAAGTATCGAACTTAAAAAGCGATATGAAAACTGCATTCTACTTATTCATTGTACCTAATTTTAGAGACTACCAGAGGGAGACTTTGTACAATAGTTATCTACTTCGGTACCTTTGTCCCAATCGGAATTCTGTTATGAAAAAGTTATGTTTGCATGGCTGTGATGTGGTTTGACAATGACATTAACAAAATATAGTGTCGTAATACCTTAGTCCTCAGGAATGACCACACATAAAGAGTATCATTGTCACACACAGTATACTCAGACACAGTATAGGTACTCTGTTATATTCATGGTACTGTTCATATCTATAGGCGTTACATTTATCTCTTTAAATGCAATATTATAGAACTATCAGAAATATTTTATATAAAACTTGATAGAAAAAAAATATCTAAATTAATCTAAATAAAGTTCTGAATGTCCACGAATTTAAATAAAAATTATAACATGTTGTGAATATTTGCTACTTTTTCAAATATATATAAATTCAGACCTATCACATGCACACATTTACAAAACACATCTAGTGTATTTATTATTATTTCTTGTCTTGTTTCTGTGATTGCATTGCTAGTCCATCGTTAGGTAATACGTTATACTGCATCTATGTCTAAACTACTTTCTGTCTACTTCAATGAAAGACTGATAGGAGGTATGTTATGTGTAAAATTATCTATTTATTAATTTATATGATACAATAAGGAACATTTCACAGCAGCAAGAGGATTTTTATATTCCAAACTCGAAACACGAAGAGCAAGTATTCACGCAATCTTCAAGCCGTCCTCGCAAACGTACCCTGATCAGTTTTCGAACAGAGTCTACGGAGTATACAAATTTAATGTGAAAAGAAATATTAAACATATTCAGACAACTGTGTTTTATACGGTTTACTACTTTTTATTTTTATCTCTTAACTTTTATTTTTGGTTGTTTGTTAAATATTTATCTTTAATAACAACAACTTTTATCTTTTATATTTAAAAGAAAATAAACTTAAAATAACTCGATTGTACTTTTATAAGTCTCCTCACCAAAATCCACGAATCTCCTCAGTGTTGTCCTATAACAAAACAGACTACTTTACCAGAGGGAGACATTGTACAAAAGTTGTTTGCTTGAGAACCTCTGTCCCATTCGCGTTTCTACCGTAAAGTAGTTGTGTTTGCATGACTGTGTTTCGGTTTGAAGGGTGGGATATGGCAGTGAATTTACAGGGTACAGAGGAATAACACCTGAGTTCTCAGGAATGGCAACGCATGGGAGGGAAGGGGGGGGGGGGGGGAGTATCATGGGCGAAACAGTATACACTGTTATATCTATGGTACTGCTCATGTCTATAGGCGACGGTTACCACTTTCCATCAAATGGACCGTCAGCTTGTTTGCTATTCTCAGTTGTATAAAAAAAAAGTGAACGTAAGACAATTACATAAAGTATTTGCTGGATAATTATAGAGAGTATTTGCTGGAAATAAGGAATAAATTTGAAGGAAAAAATTAGAAGGATGGCACTGAGGATGATATTTATATTTAAATCGCCAACTAATAAAGGATAATAGAAAAATAATAATAATAAGGATAAGATAAGAAAAATATATATTTAGGCTATTGTTCAGAGAGTCTCAAAACTTTTTTATATTATGTATATATTTGAAGCGGATTTCTAAATTGTATCCATGTTGATAATTAACTCATTAACGAAATTAGTAATTGCCGTTAACAGCCCCTGAAATTTATTAACTACCTCTAAGGTAGACTTTTTTAAATTTATACTAAGAAGTTTCTTAAGTAGGTAATCATTAAACGACTCCGAGTGCCGTAGTGTACGGACGTAGTGTAGTTATGATTATTAAATCGACTTGAAGACCTAAATCGATTAATCGGTTAATCGGAAGGTAAATATATTTTTCTATACGGCAACACTCTAAATCTAAGGAAAGAAAAATAAAAGTAAAATACCATGAACGTTTTGCTCGTGTCTTTTTTCCTGGTCTTCAAAATAGATCGATAATATTAATATTATTTCTGCAATTACGGCTTCAGCTTTTACCATGTTGATTTATAGTTCCTCTTTAACTTCTAGCTTATAAATTAAATATTTTATTTTTATTGTATTCGTAAATATGTTAAAAAAATATTGATTTATTGGTTATATTATTTTAACGAGTACAAACAGGCTGTGAACATTGTGAAATATAGTGAAAGTGTACATAGAATGTCCTAAAATGAAGTGCCACTACGAGGTATTGTGTTTGGCGAAAGAGGCAAGTGCTTCCGAGATAAAGAAGGCGTATCGTCGCCTGGCATTGCAGTGGCATCCGGACAAAAACTTAGATAACTTACAAGAGGCGAAAGAACAGTTTCAGCTAGTACAGAATGCATATGAAGTACTTTCTGACCCCCAGGAGAGAGCTTGGTAAGCATTTTTCTGTCTTGCAGCTTTGATATACATAAATTAGGTAATCAGCGTCCAAGCAAGTATGTTTTGTAATCCACCGGCGAGAAACTTATAAAACCATATGACAAGATATCAATAATATCTTAGTAATGCATTTATGTAGAATTGCTTAGTCCACTTCTATTATTCCATAATTTTATATAAACGAAATCTTAGACTAGGAAAAATTCAAAAATTTTAGGCAAAAGGGACTTTGTTGATGCACTGTAATAAGGTAAAAAAACAAACTAAATTATTTAACAAACAAAACTAATAATTACAATATTATGCAACGCTCTACCTGCTGACATTGATGCTCCTCTCCACTTTGTTGGAAGAGAACTCTTTCAGAGTTAAGCTCGCCTTTGTATATTTGATTACCTCTGCTGTTTTTTTTTTATATATAATTTGTATTTACAATAAAGTATTAAATAAATATATAAAAACATTCTATTCATTCCAAATATTTAAAAATTTGAAGATGAAGGTCTGTAACCAGTCAACCTGCAAATCACCTGTGATGACTAATAAAATTACAAAATATGCTTCTAATCTTACTAATTAATATTATAAATGTGTAATTTTATTAAGGTGTTTGTATGTTTGTTACTCAATCATACTTAAATGAATTTAAATAAAATTTCATACATGAGTAAAATATATCCTAAACCATAAAATACTTTTATATACTAATGTACATATACAAAACCATAGGAAATGACTTGTAATTAATATTTATAAACAGTAATCTGAGCAATTCTACACATACAACAAATTCATATAGTTCTTCAGTAGCACAAAATATTATTTAATAACAATATTAAATAATCAAATTAAATAATAAAATACATTATTAACCAGTGTCTACATTATGTAACTCAATTCGTAACTAGTTCAATTGCAAACTAAGGTACTTAGCACATCCGTAAATGTTAATTTCACACCATGTACTCCATTAACTGTATATATAATATGCCATTAACTGAATAGGTCTCCTCTATAAGAGACATTGGCAACTGCAATTATGTTTTGCAGACCTCACAGAAAAATGTTTCAATCTCTTAAATGAGAATTATTAGTTACTGAGTTTTTAACTTGTCTGTTACAAATTCATTCATTCAATTTTAAATATCTTATGTGACAGTGATACATTTATATATATGGATTTCCACCAGGTATGACAATCATAGAGAACAACTGTTGCGTGGTGCAGGCTCATCATACAACGATGACAGTCTTGATGTATTCCCATACTTCAGTCCGTCCTGCTACAAAGGTTTTGGTGATGACCCACAAGGATTCTATGCAGTCTATTCAGAGGTATATTAAACATGCTTTCTTTGCTTCAGTTTTGTTTTAAAATTGAAAAGTTAATAGATAAAAAAATTGATCATTATCATAACATCAGCCATTAACTGTTCACTATTAAACATAAGCTTTCTCCATAAAGGGAGTTTTACCAGTAGTTGCCATGGTTAGCAGGTGGGTTGGTAACCTCAGTCATGCTACCCTGAGGGAGACTTTGTACAAAAGCCGATTGCTTGGGTACCTCTGTCCCATTCGTGTTTCTACCGTGAAGCAGTTGTGTTTGCATGGCTGTGTTTCGGTTTGAAATGGGATATGGCGTAAATTTGCTGGATACAGAGGAATAACACCTGAATCCTCAGGAATGGCAACGCATGGGGGTATCATGGGCGAAACAGTATACTCTGTACGTTCTGTCTTCTACTCATGTCTATAGGCGACAGTCACCACTTTCCATCAGGTGGGCCATCAGCTTGTTTGCCATTCTAAGTTGAATAAAAAAAAATGTTTAATGATGTTTTAAGAGGGACGCTGCTGCCCATCCCACTACCATTAAATTTTCTTAGTCTCCTCTTACGATACCCATGGAAAAAGAAGGGATAACCTAATCTATGTCAGGACTACACAGTGGTGATATTAAAAGTTGATAATTATATTTTTTTTTATCTTTTTACAATATCAAAATGAACACAAAGGTATAAACTCAATAGATATTTTTCACAAATTGTCCATTAGAAATAATTTTTATAAATATTTGTGACAAATAACAATACATTACTTGCACATTGTTATGTATTTCAATAGTTTATATAGATATAATAGGTATGATTTGTTATTAAAATATTTGAGTTATAATAAAATTTTATAATACTTAAATTAATTTTATTAAAATATATTTAGATATGTAAGGAAACAATCATAAATAGTGCACCCTACAATAATTTACAGGTGTTCTCCAAACTGTCTTCTGAAGAAGCAGATTTTCTAGATGATCCTGAAGATGTGACCAAAATACCTAAATTTGGTAACTCTACCACACCTTACGAAGATGTACATGAATTCTATGCATATTGGATGGCATTCTCTACTAATAAGAGTAAGCAATATTATTGTTATTCATGTATCATAAATATTTATATATCTATTACCATACTTATTTATCTATTATTATGACTGTTACTTTCAATTGACATAATTGTGAGTTTTTAAAAATTTGTTATTTATAATTATTTTATATATATAATAACAATTTTATAATAAATGTAATTTGAGATATAAATTTATTATAATTATATAAATTTAAATTTTTACGATGTTAATTCTCAACTACTTATATTTTTCTTCTAAAGGCTATGTGTGGCTAGATCAATATGAAATCCAACAAGGCGACAATCGAAGAGTTATCAAGTTAATGGAGAAAGAGAATAATAAAATACGACAGAAGGCTCGTAAAGAAAGAAATGAAGAAATCAGGAGACTTGTAAGCTTCGTTCGTAGAAAAGATAAGCGAGTTATAGAACACACAAAATTATTACAAGAGAAAGCAGAGGAAAATAAGCGAAAGGTAATACAAAGTTTAAATTTCGTTTTTAGAAAATAAGTACATTATATTTATTTATACTATAGCATAAATTATAATATACATTGAAAAATAAATAAACCATTGAATTTTAATCCCAGAACATTAATGAAACAATCCTGGTAGCCCAGGACTTAACAGCTACATCTGATGTAAAATTTTGTGTATTAATAACTTAGTCCCTAGTTTAACGTCATCAACAATAATAAACACAAAAATTCTTTAAGCAAACAACATAGACACAATTACAGCTACTCTAAAATGTGATAAATTCATACTGAATATACCATATCAGATGTTAATTGTCCACTGCTCAACATAGGCTTCTATATATTGGGAAGGGGGGCTCCAGTAGTTGTCATGCTTGACAAGCGGATTGGCAACCGCAGTTAAGTCTTGGAGATGTTTTAAGAAGGATGCTGTTGCCCATCCCTCTACCATTAAGTTCCCTTAGTTGCTTCTTATGACACCCACGGCGACTGAATGTACATTTACTCTTAATTAAATATTGAAACAACCAATTATAATTTCATTAAATTTTAGGCAGAACAAGTAAGAAGAGAAAGGATCTTACAAAGACAAAAAGAAATAGAAGAAGCGAAGAAAAGAGAAGGTGAAAGCTCATTCTTACAAAGTGAGGATTATCAAAAAAAATTAAGTGAAATTGAGTCATTGTTGGCAGAAGAATTTGGGCTGTCATCAGATGATGACACTATTAGTGAGGGTGGTATGGAGAGTAGTAATGAAGAGAGTTCCAAGACTGAAGAGGTATATAAGATTCAAATTTTTTAGATACTTATAATTATTAGCTTACTGCTACTGTAAATGTGTAAAGATGTATGAAAGTTTATTACTCGATCGTGGAATTACTTCCGCGATAGTCTGAATAAAATTTGGTACATAGATGAACAAAGTATATAATGAAATATATCTAATAATATGTATTCCAATTTAAGTTGCTTGGTTCAATCTTATTTTTCTATCAAATATATGTAGAACATAATATGTTATGACGATATTAATAATATATTAATGAAATATATATTGTATGCATTGGAACTAATATTACTTAACAAATAATTCACTGTTACTATTATGACCTTGGTATTAGTAGATAGCAACTGCTTTTATGTACAAAACCAAAAGTTATTAACTTTTTTACTTTTATTATATAGAATCTATTACTATAAGAACAGAATTATTCTATAAAAATATATAATATTTAATGTTGTGATGTCAATATATAATATTATTTAATTAAAAAATTTAAACATGCATGCACTTTAAAAAAGAAAGAAATTATTCATTACACTTATTGTAAAATATTTATTTCAGGCAAGTGAAGTCTCTAGGGCAACAACAAAACCTTCCTCCAAATCTAAACAAGCCATTAAAAATTTATATTGTTCAGCTTGCAGTAAATTGTTTAAAAACGTCAAGTCTTTTGAAAATCACGAGAACAGTAAGAAACACAAAGAAAATGTTGCTAATATGACATTTGAGGATGATATAGATATATCAGAAGATGACGAAGAGGAAGATGTTGAATTAGACGAATCTATTAAAAATATAGAAGAGACAGCGGAAGAAAAACTCAATGGGCAAACTGAGGAAGAAAGGGAGCAAGTAGGCAATTCTACATCAGATCTTGAAGATAATGACATTGGGGAGACTTTAAGTGATGATTCAGACAAAATTCAAGTAAGTTTCATTTACTATTATTTGCTATGTAGATATTTTTATCTTTCAAAGTACATCATCATCTTCCTACCCTTATCCCAATTACGTAAATTTTGGGTTATATATATCTTTACATAGTACATAATGTATAATAAAATTGCAACACTTGTACCTGATAATTTTTAAGTTTTGTATTATCATAAATCAATAGACAGTCGTCGCATAAAAGTTAAAACATTCCAAAGGCTATGACTTTAAAGATGCTTAAATGAAAATTATGGTAAATTTATCTGACGAATGTTATAGACGCTTTGCTTTATTTAAATTATATGTTTTTCATAATTATGAGTGAGATTTACAAATATCCATCATGTGGCTATTCACAGTATTAAGCATAAAAGTAATTTTATCAAAAAAAGTTCCATAGATTGATACATAATAAAACTTTTGTTTGCAAAAATGTACTAACAATTAATTACATTTTGTAGGCTTTACCCAAGAGCCAGAAAAAGAAGAAAAACAAAAAGAAGTCATTTATACCAATGCCAGAAAGTGAAGGTAATGATAGTCATGATGAGATGAGTTTTAATGAAATAGAGGGTCCATCTCGTAGCAGGAAAGCTAAGAAATTTAATATGCTTAAAAGCCAGATACAGGCTAAAAAGGAAGCGAATCTCAAAAAAGGATCACAATCACAAACATCAACAGAAAATTTATATGAAGTGTCAAGTACAACGCCTACTGATGATGCTTTGGGAGAAGCAGCATTGCCAAAAGACAAACCGGCCCTGCCGAAAACGCAGAGGAATATAAAACCCAAAAAGCTAGTAGAAAGGAAACCATTACGAACTAAAGCCAGTGAAACAGAAGACTCGAGCACAGCTATGAATCTTAGATGTGCTGTTTGCCAAACAGATTTCCCATCAAAAAATAAGTTATTTGAACACTTGAAAAAGACAGGACACTCTGTACCGCTGCCCCAAACTAGCTTTACACAATCTAAGAAAGGCAAGAGAGCTAATAGATAAACATGTGCAATGAACTTAGATAGGATGGAAGTATTAATTAATCAGTGAGAATTGTTTTAATTTTCTTTAAATCTCTACAAGTTGTAAAGTGACTTTGTCAATATATTTATTAAAATTATAATCATTGTCATCATTAAACTATGATTAACTAAATAATTTAAATGTTTTTTATTATTTTACAATTTTGTGCCCTTGCAACTTTATCTGTGTGAGTGTTAATGAAAAGTGGTCTATATCCTTCTTATGTCAAATGCTCTTCTTGGATTATTATGAAACACTTACCTTACAATCTCTTAGTGTGTCTATTTGTGGCAGCTTGTACATGTATAGCAAGAACCAATAAATTCTAGGACAAGATGTTCAGGTTAGTAAAAAATAGTCAATCCAGTTTATAACTCGATTACTACACCATAATATAAGTGTTATTTGGTAGAGAAAAATAAATTAAAAATTAATACATTATGAATATTGGTATTTTTATATTATAACATTGTGAACATAGATAAATTGGAGGATATCGGATCATCTACCTATTTATATTGAACGCAACTTATCGTCCAATCTCCCTCGCTAAGATGACTGCAAAGATATTGGACGGTTTGCTTAATTCTTACTTAAAAATACTTACACCTACATGATGTTCAATTCGGGTTTCAATAGTTTTCCTGGATTATCAACTGAAAGCGCAATACTATGTCTTAAGCACAGCATTTAATATTATACAGATCGAAAAATGCCGGTTTATTCCTATTTTCTGGACCTTTCTAAGGCCTTCGATCTTGTTTCGTATGGAAAAATGAGGGACAGGTGTATTCCCGCGGAACTTTTTTTTTTTTTACAACAGGAGGCAAACGAGCACGCGGCTCACCTGACGTTAAGTGACTACCGCTGCCCATGAAACTAAACTAATAAATATCTTCTGATATTGGTATGCTAACCAAACCAATTTTGTCAAATGGTCGAATGGTGATTTGAGTCATACAGATTGGAATGTGGAGTGAGCCAGGGAAGATTAACGTCTCCAATACTTTCATTCTGTATGTAAATGATCTTATATAGTCTGACTTAGTAGCAGGAATGTCAGCTGCTGGCTTGGCGGCGTCTGTACAAATAACATCAGTTATGCGGACGCCATGATACTGCTGGGCCCATCTGCAAACGCTATCAGGCAACTCTTAGCCCAATGTGAAAATGACGCCGCGTCTCATAGCTTGATTTACAATAGTCAGAAAAGTGAAGTGAGTCCTTAAGGCCGCCAGTAAGTATACGGATGATGTTTCGCCAATTCTTTTAAATGGAGCCCTACACAAGCAAGTAGATAAATTTAAATACCTAGGACATTTTCTTACTAACAACCTTAAAGATGATGTTGAATATAGAAAGGAAGCGTAGAACATTAGCGATTCGAAGTAATATGCTGGCCCGTATATTCGCCCGATGTTCAAACCAGATCAATACTATACTATTTAAAGTATATTGTCAGGTTCTCTACACGGGCGGTCTATGGTTCAGGCATACTAAAAAATCGCTGGATGCTCTACGAGTCGTGTACAATAATATTTTAGAATGATGTTGGGACTTCCCCACTTCTGTAGCGCCTCAGAAATGTTCGCACAAGCACGGATTGATGGTTTCCATGCTATCATTCGTAAGAAAGTCGCCTCAATAGTGAAGAGAAAGCGGGAGAGTGAACACCATTCTTAAAATGGTAGCTGAGGATAGTCATGCACCTGTGATAGTTGACTGGCGTCAAGACGATGACTAAAACACGAAATAACTATGCCCTGGTTTGTTGCTGTCCTGACTGTATGCCTCTCAGGTATATGATTTTTTAAATTATAACCTTTTTCACTAACATAATTATAAGTCTACTACTAACAAAATAGATCTTGTTGTCTGGAATTAAATTAATTTGAATTATTTTATAAATATTATTAATATAAAAATTTTGTAAAAATGTTTGGATATTTATTACTTAATTAAACAGCTGCACAGATTGTGAAGGGAATTTAATACACAGGTAAATTATAAAATATTATTATAGGATATTTTATATACTAAATCACAAAAGCAAAGCCTTGAATTAGTTTTGACTTGTTTATTATGTAGATACCTACATATATACATATCTTAATATAAAATAAATGGCTGAAATAATGAATAGTAAACAAAAAAAATATACTTCATAAATTAGCTCATATTATGCTGACAGTTAATTCCTTACTTTAGCACAATATATCCTTTTAAAAGAAATTGCTCATTCAGCACAATCTATTTCATCTAAGATAATAAATATACAATCACTATATCTTTAGCAATTACCAATACTTCATAACTATCTACCTACATATAAGTATCTCAGTAATTATCATATGTAAAATATTTCAATATTTATCTAATTAAATAACAAATTCAATGACAAACAAATAAGTACATATATATAAACATATATTCAATTATCTATTTCTACCTAATTCTGGAATATTAAAGTAGTAAAAAACAATTAATAGAAAAAACAAATGGATACGAAACAATTGTTTAACACAACATTATATCAGATATACTCTATAATTATATTTATTGTATGAGTGACAAGAGAAAAATTAGAGAATTAAAAGTTCAAAAAACAATACTAAATTGTATATCTTTTGATCATCCAAATATATCCAATATTTCAGAAGTCAAAATATAAAGAACACACTTGCACTAAATACTTATATTTCACTGTATGCAAAGCATAATTTTAATGTCACAATATTTAATAACAATATACAGTAAACAATTATAAATTAAACTTTTCTTTAACAAGTCAAACACATCCACAATATTATAAAAAAAAAAGTATTAGTAACATTTAAATCTTATATTGAATGCTATGCTGTAATTGTAAAATCACCTATTATAATTTAAATAATTTATTTGACTTTAAGGCAATCCCAAATATATGAATATTATATACACAGACTCATTACAATATCTAGTCAATAATATGCATTAAAATTACTCTTTATACAAATCATAAAACTTAAATATTATGTGCTAATGGAAATCTATTCAAATTCTGGAATGTCATTAAAACTGTAACCTGGATATTCTTTATAAGCATAATATGCTATTCTAATGTGATATGCACCAGGAAGAAACATTATTCCACCTAGAACTATCATTGGCCACAGTCTATCTGAATATTTAGTATCTATATGACCAGTCACTATCAAGCTACCTGTTATAAGTAAAATAGTACCAATAACAAACAAAAATACAGCTAGACTGATGGCTTTCCATGGGATCTTCGGTGCAGGCTCCTCAAATTGAGCATCAGAGAAACCACTGTCATCACTGGATATCAAGCGATAACCTTCATGTTGTCTTCCAAACCGAAATCTGGCCATTCTTAATCTTTTTATGCGTTCTATAAAAATCAGTTTATTTATTCAGATAAAAGATAAAAAATATTCATTTTAATAAAATAAAGATTACAAAAGGATCAACACTGAACTATTTTTAAAACAGTTATAAACAGTAAACGTAATTCTTAACAAGTACCTACCCGGCCACACTTATGTAGTGCAACTCAGGGTACATCAAACTACCAAAAAAAACTAAAACCCTGTACTTCTGCTATGCCTGAAAAATCTGAACAATAAAATAAAATAAAATTAAATTAGAATTTGGAAATCAAAACAAAACAACGTTTCGAACTGTCAATCTGTAAAGTTATGTCAGTCTATGTCATTTTGTTATGTCATGTGTGTCATTCATCCCCAGGCCAGATAGTATTTCATCTGAGTTCCCGACGCAATTCACAATCTTTGCATCAATCTTCTCAAATCCTGTTAAATAATTTACAATTCTAAAAGTTTGTACTTTAGAATTAAAATTGTCAACTATTTTCTAATTCTGGATAATAAAAAAAAGATGAATGTATGACATATATAGTTAATACAAACCTTTAATATGTTGTATAAAAGTCATCTATATATTTTAAATGTAACTGGAGTGATTCTGTTAGAGTTCTTCACAGCTGTGCAGCTATTTCTAGGATATCCTTTTCATGTTATTTACCTGCAAAAAATAATCCTAAACAATCAGATTTCTTTATTATGAAATATCTAAATAGGAATTACTAAATAAAAGAATTAAAAGAAAAAGTTTATTTCAGTAAAATTACATTTCAATAAATTACATTATTATTTCTACCTAATCATTTTGTTTGATACACAAACATTCATGAAAATGTTCAACGTCTTATTCTTTCTCAAGCTCGTAATGACGAAAACGTACCTAAGGGTCAACAAATCAATACCATTTTCCTACTGGAACTCGTTATCTTACACATTTGTCTTAGCATTTTTAATAGTTGTTGTATAGAAATACTAAATATTATGCGCCACCAACACAGTTCGTGATAGGATATTTACCTACTGCAGATCGTGTAGTCCTTGACCTAATTCGGCAGTATGCAGTGGACATAAAACAAAAACCGGACAGGCAAATTGCAGTCTGTAACCTTACATTTAGCGATACGTAATAACTTGTAAGAAATAAAAGCTAAGTATGTAATAAATTACCTAACATTTCTGAATTAATATAAGTAGTAATTTTACCTAAGAGTTTAAGGCTGTTAATGAGGAGTAATAATTTTATTGCTAGTAATACACCTTACTAGATCAACTTTTATGCCGCGCTCCCTAAAAACTATCATAATGAATTCTTGATGAATTCAATATGGTGAGCCAACAGAATTCATTTTTAGTTTTTATTATGCCATGCAGCAACATTCTGTCTGCTTCATCTAATACTATGTACGAAAAGTTGATTATCTTAAAATGACCAGCTACGATAAGATCATTGAATCTTCCTGGGCGATCACAATATCTACTCCCTTGGTCACAACGTTTATTTGCTCTCTCCTATCTCCGCCTCCGTAAAGACAAACTGACTTTATACCTTTGTAATGATACTTTGATACTTCCTTATTAATTTGTATAGCTAAGTCCCTTTATTGTTATAGCCATTACTAGTACCGTAGGGCCCTCCTGTTGGTCTCTAGGTGTTGTTTGTCCATCAATGTGTATGAGGACAGTTAGCAAAAAGCTAATGTTTTGCCAGTACCAGTTTGAGCAATGCCAATTAAATTATCGCCTCTTAAGAGAATAGGCCATGCTTGACATTGTATTGGAGAGGGTTTCTGAAACCCTATTTATATATTTCATCTAGGATTTCTAGATAGTACTGAAAAGCTTGTTCAAATGTTAAAACTGAATTGGGAATAGGTCTTAAATCCGATTTATTATCAAAAGTTCTTTTTATTTGTATGTCATGGTTATCAAGACGCCAACGAGTAACATAAACAAGTGACATGTTTGCAATTACAAGTTCTTTTTTATAAAAATCCTTAATAATGGGAGGTAAATTATCCCATCGTCTTTGTTGATGTTCATCATAGAAAGCATTGAGTTTTTCCCAATCTACACACCAGCACCGTTTCCTTGAACAAGTCTGTAGACATACCACTGCTACTGTTATCGTTAAGAGCTTCGTTTACCGGCGGTTTTTTATCTTGAAGCAATTCATGTATCGTATTTTCCACTTTAGATATAGTTTTATCTGTACCCGTCACAATAATAGCAGTTTTGCTACCACTAGAATCACCTATTTTAATTTTTGCCTGAGATTTATATTCAAGATCTTGTATTTTAGATTCACTTTTACCAATAATACGTTCTACTTTTTTTTTGTATAGAGCTAGATGTAAACTTTTAGAATTAACACGTGCAATAGGTTAGGTGAAGAAACGAAATTCAAATAATTAGGGTGCACAGATTAGTGACGTAATTTATATAGGAATCGACCGGAGCACAGAACATCTATACGGTCTTAAATCTAAGAACAAGGAATTACATATAAGGAATGATAAAATAAAAACTGTAAATCTTATGGTTGCAATGTATGGTTGTAAATCGTATGTTAATAATAGAGAAAACACAATTTCATATTTTACGCTTGAAACGTTATATTTATTTAAAGACAATATTTAGGACCATAACAAATATTTTGTGCATGAATCAACAAAAAAAATTGTCACATATAAACTAATTAAAACTCTGAAGTCTCAAATATTCAAATTTAAGTAATAACAAATACGTGAATATCTACAAATTCTAACTTCATTTCAAAGACAAAGGCAATAGTAATTAAAAAGGATGGGATGTGATTCTTCAAATCGAAACACAGCTATGCAAACAGAATTGCTTCACGGCAAAAACACGAATGGTCAGAGGTAGAGGAAATAGAGTTTTGTACAAGTCTCCCTCTGGTTATAAAAAAAAATAGTACAAATTATGCAAGTATAACAAAGAAATCTTTAAGATGAGTACTATATTCATACATTACAGTTACAGTAACAGTTAAAAAGAATTACTGAACAAATTTTATTAAATTTTCTATGAGATTGAAATTTACAATATATATATATATATATATATATATATATATATATATATATATATATAATTTGGTTTATAAATGATGGAATATGGAATTGTGAGATAAAATACATAAAAAAATATAACTGTATTGAACACCTCCTCCTTTTTTGTAGTCGATTAAAGTACAATATTATTAATATCATATATTGCATAAAATTCATAAAGACATTTCGTTTCCAAAAATGATAATTTTACAATATGATTATTTAATAATGTATACATACTACGTACAGTTTATTACACATATTTATATAAGGTAAATAAGTAAATAATTGTTATCTTTTAATTATTAAGTATATAAAATATTTTACTGTTTTATACTCGCACTCAAATGAGGACCGCAAATGCATTACAGGGAGTCAGTGGATGTAAAAAGCTCAGGACCGTTCTTTATAGCAGCCTATGGGGGAGCTATGTTCAGCAGTTGACGGATAATAACTGAGATGATAATGATTTAAATTTGACTTATTTTAGAACATGCCGATATTAAATCCCAACTCAAATCTCTGTCTAAATATTTTATTTTAATTCTTTTTACAATTTAGACATTTTCTATAATCCTACTTCAACTTTGGAAGTACATACGTAACTTTGAAGGTGGGTTTTTGTTGGGTGGGTGTACGAAAAAACAGCCTATAAACTTCAATACAGCAATTTCAAACGTCTACAATATAGTTTTAAAATTAAAATATTTTTTTCGGCAACCTACAAGAATATTAGGGTTTATTAATGAAATGCGAAAACACTTAAGTTGCTATATTAATATTGTGTGCTTAGTAACAGAATCGACACCATGGCTGGATCGTCGCCAAAACAAAGAACTTCGCGCCCAGCGGAGAAAGTGGCGCCAATCGATAACACCCTAACGATAACCTACACAAAACAGCTGATTCCGGCTCCCCACACGCTACGCCCCATATTTTAATTTTATACATATATTTCAATTTATTTGCATTGATGTAACCGCGTACGGAAGTTCTTGTAAGAGTACTAATGTAATACTCCTACAAAGAAAATCACCTAAAAATATTAGTCGATTGTACGCACAAAGAAATTTAGATAGTAGGTCAAAATAATTTTGTTGGCCAATACCTATTAAGAATTATAATATAACATATCAATCAAACAAAATTGCTAATTAAATGTCAATAGGTCTTGCCTTCTGGCCAATGTAATAATTAGAAAAGGTAAAAAAAAAAAATACTGGTAAATCATCGCTCACCTCTGTTTATGTAAATGCACAATATAGCACATGTAGTGACGCTGCGTATCCGTGTGTTCCTTGCGGTGGTGCGCGGCGCATGCGCGGTGGTGCAGGCGCGCGCACCCTCGCCGGCTGTCACCCAACCAGCCAGGCGGCCACTCCGCCGGCAAACCGACCCCAAGGCACACGCGCGCCCATCGCTCGCTACGCGCAGCAACGCCGGCCCCTCGCGGCCAGGAGCCCTCCTTGGCGCTTCTAACACCCTAATATTCGACACTCCACCTGTGGGGGCAAAGCGCCACGGACGCCGGCGTTCGCAGACAGAGCTCGCCGGTTAAAAGGTAAAAACCTTTCATTATTACAAATGACATGTCCGCCCTAAATCGCTTTTCATTTAACCATTACAAAGCCATATTAAACTATTCTAAATGCCTCTACGTTAGTAGATACTTATTCTGACAGAATAGAAAAACCACTGCATTATGACAAAAGAACTAACTACCTGCACATGATAAAATTCTCTTTGTCAGTTAACATACGGTTAATCCTCTAATTGGAAGTAGAGTATTGTGTTTGACCTTCCCTCATTACGGCTTCCACTGTACTGTGTACTTATGCTACATCATAAATTGCTACAAGTGTAGCTAAGCTAGGTTTTCATATACGTATGTGGTACTTTTCTTGCCATTGGTAAAATGTTATTACTGAATGTCACATATGGTTGAACAACCATCACTCAGTTCATAGTAATAACACATGAGAATCTTGTAATAACGATTTATTCAAGGCAGGAAGTAATTTTGTCCAAGAGATGTGAGTTTTCATATAAATGCGAAGCCGGAGCTGATCATTAGTATAAATTTACAGGAACTTCTATAAAATAAACGACTACGCACTAGATCATCATTACACCAAATACACTACATTGACTGGTGTTAAACATTGTAAGCAAAATCAAAAATAAGCGTTGTATCTCCGATTCGCAATTTCAGAAACTATGGTCTAACATATTATGTTACCTAATTATTAGCCTCATTTTAAAATATTCTTAATAATGAAGTGCACTTGCGTAGAGACGTTTCGTCTCTTATGTTTTTTATCGCATATATCAAGGGGAATGTTCAGAAGAATTATTCAGATTAATTCCAGCTGCTAAATTTCATCATCGTACAACCAGCCACAAGCTAAAATTCAATTTCGACCATCTAGACAAGTGGCGGCCTTCTAACGTACGTTTCTGTAGAAATTTTCTTTCACGCACAACCAAAGTATAGAACCAACTCCTAGTAGCATTATTTCCGAACAGGTACAACATTGAAATCTTCAAGAAAAGAGCACATTTCATCTTAAAATGCCGGCAACGCACCAGCAACAACTCTGATGTTGCGGGTGCCTATGGGCGGCGGTAATCACTTACCGTCGTTTGCCGTATTTGTTTTTTTTATAACATAGGGAATGTTATAAAAAAATGTTACATAACCAAATAAAAATAAAAAAGAATTATTAGTAATAGAATCTATCTGCCCCATAACTGCTAACAATATATAATTTAACAGGGTACATTAGGAACAACCACGAATATTTTTGTTGTTATTGTTACATTGATGATTATTATTAATATCTATCATCCATCACCAGTACATCACCAGTATAAACCAACACAAACGGAGATGCCATTCCATTAAAATCCATATAAGAAAAACATTACTCAAATAGTGTTTCCGATACGATTAAGGAATTTACTTCAAATCTAACCGTTGTATAAGAATCATTTGTCGACGATTTGAAGGCTTGTCATCGGTCATTGCGCAGTTTTGATCTGAATGCTAAGACGTTTATTTTTTCACTTAAATAAACTTAATAATATTACAATAACGTCTTACACGCAAAGGTATGTATACAATTAGTTTTTAGCACCAAATTGTTTATAATTACTCCTCTCCATCCAAAGGTTGCCTGAAAGAAATCGCTCTTAGCGATAAGGTCGCCCATTGTTTTCTCGTTGTGATTATTTCTTGTAATTATTTATATTTATAATAAGTTTACTATTGTAATCTTTTGGAGGAAACAATAAAGAGTATCTATCTATTTATCTTCGTCCATGTAACCAGGATAAATTGATTGATAAAAAGGAGCTTACGTCATGTGCTATATCAAATTTTATGATGACCGGCCGCCAAATTGTAATCAACGCTTTCATAATTTTAAATACAAGTAAATATAAACAAATAATAATATAGACGTATTGACGATCAAACAAACGTAGCGTTTAACAATTTTACACAAAATAGACTTTATTTTTATCTAAATGAGCATGATCTAGTGTTTTAAATTATAATCTTTTTAATAAAAAAAAAATCATCCACATCGAATCAAATAATTGACTTATTTTTGTAAGATGGTTGAATACACATAATAATACCTGTATAATATACATCCAAAAAATAAAAGAAACTTAGATAGGGGGCGTAACGATGATCTACTCCTTTTTAAGTTAATTGAAAAAAAACAATATTATTTTACATCATACAAGCTCCTCAAACCAAGGGCTAAACGATCATACTCATAATAAGTAATCTGACCCCAACCAATATTAAAATGTTTCAGTCAAGTCGTTTGAGATGTTCTGGTACTGTTTACATGTAATCATTATACTGTTTGGTACACAAACGTTACCACTGGAAGTGTTGGTAGGAACAAGGATTTGCGGCCTTGTTGGTAACAATATACCTTAGCTATCTGTGCCTTAGCATATCAAATTTCACAGACTAATATCTAGTGACTACATCACAATGGCCTGTTTTCATGTGATTTACTGGTACTAAAATAACAAAAACCGTAGCACAAGTAATGGTCATCATTCCATTTTCATGCATTAAAAATGCGTTTCAACTGCACCGCCATGTACGATCATATACTGGGCTTGAACCTAGAACGCCATTCTTTAAACCTATCTTTAAAATTAAAATTTGTAATTTAGATAAAATATTATCTTCTAATTTTCTCATGTCATTGCTGAAAAATTGTCACACAGAATAGTATAGGTATCACTAAAAAGCTTTTAGTCGAAGAGCGATGTAATGACACTTAGAAAATCTGAGCTATCTCTGTTGCGACGTCCTTGAAAAGATATTTATCACTACACTAGAATTTGTCCGCGGCTTCACTCGCGCATATCAATCGGAATTTCGTTATATTGATATTTGTATACACTTTTCAAAATGTTAAATAACGAATTTTTATATATATTTACGTCATGTGGTCCCGGCATAGAATAGACTACCAATTCCTATCCCGTGAGTGTCGTAAGAGGCGACTAAAGGAACTTAATGGTAGAGGGATGAGCAGCAGCGTCCCTCTTACAATACCACTAAAAGCCTAACAGCGGTTGCTATCCCGCTTGCCAAATGACAACTACTGACAAAACATCCTTTATGGGGAAGGCTTATTATGTTCAGCAATTGACAGTTAAAGGCTGATATAATGATGATGTACATTTGATATGTATTTAACGATCTTTGCACATTTTCACATTTTTAATCATATTTGCATTTATTTTGTACAACTTAGAATTGCAAACAAGATAACGTCAATAGATATGGAGAGCACCATAAACATCACAGAATACCAATCTTCATGAGTAACCATTTCTGAAAATTATGAAGTTATGCCTCCATACTTTGTAATTTCACTGCAGTATTCCAAACTTTAAACTGAAACACAATCCTGCAAGCTATTCCACAATGAAAATACGAAGTCGTAAAACAAAATAGGTACTGTAGTTTCTGAAAATTTATCTACTATTACTATTTCTACGTAGGGCATGCATCCGTCTCCTTTTGTGGGGTCGATTGGTAGCGCTCCAAGTGATTTGGCATTCGTTCCAACAAATCTGATTTCTACTCACAGCCTCTCCAATGCTCTGATTGTTTCCCAAAGACAAAATGCCTGAATCATTTAACATTTCTTTCTATTACATAGTAAAAGGTTTTTATTCTACTTTAAAAAGAGTATATGCTTTTTCTGAAATACGTTTCAATTTAAAAAAGAGAATACAATTTAAATGTATAACTACTTCTGAGTTTGTTCGGTGTCCATCGATGTTATTCATAACTTTATAAAGTCCACGTTTACCTACAAGATGAAATCGAAGTTGATAACTTTTATGAATAAAAATCTAGCCATACGATAGAAGTCATCTGCTTGGGTATAATATATTTATCATAGCAATAAATAGTAGCTTTAGCATGAAAACGTAGATTAATAGATAATGTTTGAAAAATGCTACTCGTAATAATATAACTCAATAACTACTACGAGTAGCCATGCTTTTGTAAAATAATAAATTAATTTAGGTAATTCTACCGCGTTAGAAAGTAATAGTAGGTTAAATTTTAACTATCACGCCACCTAACACTCACGCAATCTTTCTTCTTGAACTACAAACAGAAAAAATTAGAGGATTGTTAAATTAAACAAAAGTCGAAATAGGTAGTATCACTGATGTGCACCTCAAGACTGACTGACTGACTCTAAAAATGTTGCAATTTTAATCGGGAGATACAATTGTACCCTTTTAAACAGTAACCAGTTCACAACACTACAAGTTCTACAAACGCCAATTCTCTTAAAATCCTGGATAATATAAAATACATCGAAAGTTTATACTTTAGATTTATTTTATTTTATCTAGGTAATTTATTGCTTTCATTGAATATAAAATTTTTCTATATTTAACATGTATATTTGTTTATTTGCATTCCATAATGTAATAATAGGTATCTGCTTATTATAGTGAGCATTATGGACCGCATTGGAAGCAGCAAGTATCAATTGGAGAGATGGCTTTAATACATTTTTATAATACAAATTTGATTCGCAAAATATTGTATAAAAATATCAGTAATAAATTTTATTATAATTTTGTATTTATATGACATAATTTATTACGTACTCCATAAGTTAACTAGATGCCAATTGTTTGGAATATTTTAATTAAATTATCATAACTTTAGGAACAAACTTCACTTAATTACAAAAGCTGTATTGGAAAGGATTAACAAAATATCACACTATAAACTTAATTTACTAAGCAACTTACTTAAAAAGATTAAAACATTGTCTTTCACTCATCCGGTCATTAATATAGACCTAAACTTGCTACTGGTGAGCCTTATTTTACACGTAGTTTCGTTGCTAAATTTATACCTGACAAAACTTACCTCCGTTGACCTAAAACACTTCCTAAAAGGTGAACTACAGAGAATATTTCGGCCACTTAATATTAAAACCCTGTAAGCGACATTTGTTAGCTCAAATATTATGTGCTGACTATGTATAT